TATTACGCATTACAGAAAATCCCTGCCGAGAATGTAACCTTGCAGATTTCATACTCATACGAAATTTTGCCAATTGGAAAATGCTATGTCTAGTTCTTTCCATGCCTAAGTATAACAATTCAATAATAATAGTCTTCAAAATATAAAACATCAGCCAGTACAAATGAAAAACAACGTTCCCAGATTATTCCTAAAAATTTAAATTTATAATTTAAACTTTTTTAAATTTAAATTATGCCAAAACATGACCCAAACAAATCTTCTTATAAGCCTGCTACACATTACATCACTTTCTTCTGGGTATGCACAAGGCTCCTAGTGTAATTAATAATATTTGGGTAGAAAGCTAATAATCATAATTCAATAAATTATTTATTACTTCCAATCCAAAATAAGCAGGTATAATAACATCATATCGGCCCGTGAAAACTTTGGAATAGTCATTTGTGGTTTTGCCTGATTGTAATGCAAATGTTCCCGTGGGACAGGAGACAAGTGTTTATCCTTAAATCTATAAAATGTTCGTGCACTACCAAAAGACTTTGGCACTGTTTATTTCATACTCATCTTGCGGTGTTTACTTTGAGGTCATTGGCAAAATCTCAAAGTAGACTATCACAAACGTAAATTGCAAGTTACGTGAATATAGTGTTAGTTGCTGAGACAATATCAAACTTGGAGAAAAAAATGAGACTTTAATTTAAAATATGTGGACAGAAACTTCTCGATTTGCCCTCTTCCCCTTCGGGCAGGTGACGATAGAGTAAATAAACTTACCGAATAGAAGCAATGTTCTGTGACAGAAACACGAGACGAGAAGCTCTCGTTGAAAGCAGTGATTGTCAAAGTCCTCTCGCGCCGATCGAGACAGTTTGTTTGATTGAAATACACATACTCCACGCCAATAATCTGCAGCAAAATGAAATTTTGGAAAAATTTAAACCTGCACCAAAATTACAAAATTTGCTGAACCACCCTTCCTTCCGATATCACGAAGATGTGGATCAGCCGTATCACAGTCCTAGATAATTCAGTATCGAGTACCATGTTTTGATGTTTTCGATAGTCACGTCATGATAACAACTGATCAACAGTACAACAAATTTCTATGCACGAGGAAATCAAGCAAGTTACTAGCCAAATTTACATTCGTGAGAGAACTGCGTTCACACAACCCACTGGTGTATTTCCTTTAAGTTAAAGATCTTTCTTGTTTAGCTACAATTCGGGTCAATACACTTACTTTCTTCAATAGATACGGAGCATCTACATCGAGTTTGCATCTCCTTTCGATGTTGTGTACCGCACCGTCTTCGCTCTTATACTCTGACAAAATATCGCTGCCAAGAAACACTGGAATCATTTTGCAAGTAGGAAAACGCTTTTCGTAAGCCTGTAAAAAAATGAGTGAGAGTTCATAGATTACAACCGCGAAATTGATTCTGTAACGGTGAAGATTTATCAGTTGGGCAATTAGAGGCATCGTATTTACAACCAGACGCCGCCGGTCGCTGACTCAACTATTACACAATTAATTCTACTTGAAGGCAATCACCAAGTGAACGTGAGATTACTAGTTTCATTAGCTTCGTATCGATAAAAGAGCTATTAAGTAGAATCAGTGTGATCGGATTGCATAAATAAAAAGAGAGAATGATTCCTCGAAAACTTCACCAAATGAATGAAAACGCTAAACTACTCACCGCCATGACTATCTCAAAAGGGTACTTATAAACCCTTACAGGCGACTGGTATTCTTGCACCATTTTAACTGCTAGTGGATGAAGCAAAAACTAAACAACGAGCTTTCAAACCAAAAACTGATTTTACAAGGCACGCCGGTGTTAACACACCACCGACATGTTTGCTTGCGTCTATACAGGAAGATGAAGATCGACAAGGGAACAATTCTATGGGGTGGTGGGAGTAACAAGTGACGTCACTACTTAGTTACCACGCATTTCAGCAATGGCGGTGAATCCTGGTATCGTCTCGTGACAGTAACATTATCTTTCGTCGACTATTATTTATTTCCGCCAATTTCAAGATATTTGACATCTGCTTGCTGATGCAAGGTAGTGGTCTCAAGCAACCATATTCCCTTGGAAAGTCCTTGATTTCAATCGAGTGATCATATCACGTGAATAACAGCTTCCGTGCGTGTCACGTTCAAGAAAAGTGTCACAAGATTTCTCTCACAGAAGATTGAATAACTATAGCAACTTATTGCATAAGTAAGTTTGAACCGCAACTTGAAAGAGCCCCATCGGTTTTGGAGTTCAATTCAAACATGAGAGACCTCCAAGAGGAAGGATATCGCCCCGCACCAACGGAAAGCTCGCCTTTGCTACAAAGTGGGGCAACTAGAACGACCTTGACAGGCGCTAGAAAGAGCGACAAGAAACTCGATGCGGATAAACTCGTCAGAACTAAGGAGACAACCATGAAGTGTCTCCATAAATACCTGCCAATAACTTCGTGGCTTCCGAAGTACTCGTGGGAAAGCCTTCTGAGGGACGTCATTGCTGGGTTGACTGTGGGATTGATGGTGGTTCCGCAAGGATTAGCGTATGCTACTATAGCTGGGCTTCCCATACAATACGGTCTTTACACTTCGTATATGGGATGTTTTGTGTATTGTGTGTTTGGTGGCAGTAAAGATATCACTCTTGGTCCCACAGCCATCATGTCCCTAATGGTTGATCGCTTTGCCAAAGAACAACCTCTCTATGCTATAGCTCTGACTCTTTATTGCGGCATTGTCCAGCTTTTGATGGGTCTTCTGCGACTAGGTTTCTTGGTTCGTTTTATCTCTCTGCCAGTTATAAGTGGCTTTGTGTCTGCTGCAGCTATCATAATTGGCTTTGGCCAGGTGAAATCATTGTTAGGATTAAAAAAAATACCAAGAGAGTTTGATGAAAATGTGTATGAAACATTTAAGAACATTGGAAAAACAAATCTGTGGGACTTTTTGCTAGGGTCATGCTGTATTGTGATATTATTAATTTTAAAGAAACTGGGTCGAGTCAAGTGGCAGGAAGAGGAGGATATGACCAGATTACAGCGAGGGTGCAGGAACTTCTTGTGGCTGGTTTCCATTGCAAGAAATGCCCTTGTTGTAATTATGGCAGCACTTATTGTGGCAGCAGTAGATTCTTCTGGACACACAGTCCCATTTTCCATGACAGCTGAAGTTCCTTCAGGAATTCCGGATTTTAAGGTTAGTTTCTTATGTTATGCAAACCCTTGAAGCAACATTGGCAGGCAAGTTAACAAATACTCTTTCTGACCCTATGGAAAGTAATTGGTGAGGTATAGAGAGGGAGAGGGAGGGGTTTAGGGGAAATGGGATTTGTCCAAAACTGTTTAAAACTGTTCATCAGCTTTCTGAGGAAAGGCTTTTTCTTTACCAGTAGGTACCTCAAAAAACAACCATGGTATAAACACAAAATGTTTGGTTTACAAAATATTTAATTAGGGGTAGTAATTTTCAAAATGAACCTGTAACCAGGTGGATTCATAAAGACATAATATTGTAACTCTAGGTAAAAATTGTGCATAAAACCTAAAAATTTGAAACCCTGATGTTTTGGCCAAAACCGTGGCCTTCATCAAGGGGAATGATGAGAACATTTTAAAAGTGTTCATTGATAAAGTTTGCACAAAGTTGAAACACTCAAAAAACACTCTTCAGCTAACAAACTGTAGTGGTTATTCATGCTCTACACCTTTTAGATGTTCTTCCAATTGAAATGCAAATTTGCTCTTTGTCTCAGCAATGTATAATGAGTGAGTGTACTTTTCTGCCTGAGCAGAAATTACATGTTTCGTTTCTTTGGATAGGTCATCGTTAAGTTAAGAGTGGAATGTTTTAAGGGTGATCTTTTAAAATCTTAAGCCGAACAAAGTCCATCAGAAATCCACCCATATAGAGAGACATCTGTTGTTTCACTTGCATCACCCAGTCATACACAAGAAGACTATTGTCAAGACTTTAATCTGACCTAGTTCTTCTGAATCTTTGCCTCCCCACCAAAGGCCAGACAGATATTTTGTTTAGATCAGGAGGCATTAGGGAGTAAAATTAAAACACAGAGCTACTTAAATTTAAAAAAAATATGAGCTGGTAGTCTCTTGTGAAATCATTCAATATTTGGTGAAAATAACTTTTTTTAATTGTTCTTTATGTTGCTCTGTTTAAATAATGTAAGTATGAAGTGCACTGATTGGCTCTCTTGAAAGTGATTAGCCACATACAGCTCAGCAGCTCAAGAGTCATAATTGTGAATCAGGAGTTAAATTTCCAACCATTTTTTATTATATAAACAGAAATAAATTATTTTTTTATTCTTTTTGGTACATACTAAAACAATTATTCATTTCATTGTTTTGAAAAAGGTGGATAAATAATTACCTAAAAATAAAATAATTAATCATTGCTTAAGTGCCTTGGCCCAATTTTTAATATTTGCATGGTTAAAGATTTGTTGTGATTAGACATGTTAGTTTCTTGGATAAGGAAGATGAACTATATCTTCTCTGCACTTGTTAGCAGGGAACGTTAAAGAACCCATGTGCTTCTTGCTAAGAGTAGGGAACACAGCCACCAGTGTTGTGGTCTGACCTTCTCATTGTTTATTCAGGCTCCCATTTTAACCAGTTTTAAGAGCCCAGCTGGACCAGCCTGTTTAAATATTGCAAATGAACAAAGTAATTGAAAGAGGGAAAATCCCAGAGGATCATCAAATAGCCTGAAATGGGCAACAAAATAAACTAATTTAAGAGGTTTATGAGTACCACCAGTAAACTCTTTCTCTAACTGAACCCCTCCGATTCTTAAACTGTTTAACTTTCATTCGTTTTCTCACAAACCTTGGAGACCTGCTGATAAGGGGAATTAGGAAATGTGTTCTACTAAAACTTTGGATGAACATGTTTTCAAATCTTGTAATCACACTGGATGTGAGTCACATGAACCATGTTTAGTGTCTCAGCTATGATGCATGGTCTCAGTAAAACTGGTAGAAGGGTATCCAAAATTCTAATTGGAAGGTCGAAACTTTTCCTCCATTGGGAGCACTCAGTTGTTATCTAGAATACTTGCGGCGTTCATGACTAAGAATATCAGAATTTTGTGGCTTGATCACTGTTAAATTGGAAAAGTACCTTTTCACGGTGTACACATTCATATGTCAACAACAGCAAAAAAAACCTTGTTTCGGCTTGTGAAGATGTCACTTTTCATCATTTTATTCAAGTTGATTAAATAATCCTAAGGGTTGAGTTACGAAAGATGGCCACATGACAAACTTTATATAATGAATCTGGTACAGCACGCGTAAGCAAACTTCCTGTTCGTGCAGACAGTGTGAAACCAGAAAATATGGCCACATGACAAGCTACCTACCGTGTGTGCGAAATCACTTTTCTGTGTAGATAATGACTCCAGAAAATTTGGCCTCATGACAAAGTACATGCTGTGAAACTGTGAGAAACTGTGAGAAACTGTGAGAAACTGTGAGAAACTGTGAGAAACTGTGAGAAACTGTGAGAAATCATTCTTCCGTGCAGAAAGCACGACTTTGTTTAAAATGGCAACATGCAAACTACATTTTAGGCCGGAAACTATGTGCGAAATCTCTTATTAAGAAGCTAGGAAGTGACTCTATAAAAAATAACCACATGAGAAACTACAAGCTGTGAAACTGTGTGTGAAATTATTCTACCATGCAGAAACGGTGAATTTACAAAAATATCCACGTGACATTGTGCTGGGGAACCCCGTGTAAAAATTACTCTTCTCTGGAGACGGTGAAATCTCAAAATCTTACAGGATTTAAAAAGTGAAGGGAAAGACACTTCGCTTAGTCTGTAGATTTACATCATCATCTTGACTGCCCCCTTCACCTACAAAAAAAATACAGGTAAAACGAAATTTCCATCGTGGAAATTCGATCCATCTTACTTTTCACGTACTGTTGGAGATCGGCATAATTATTAAATCTTGATGACAACGCGAACTTTGAACTCCACGCTTAAAAAAAAAACGCGACGAAATAAAGCGTTAGAGTGTTAAGTACAATAGGCTGGTTTTGTTTTTGTTTTTGCGAATTGACTGAGATGTTTAACAAATTAAACCACGCCTGTACTCACCCAACAGCAGTCATTTATTCACCTGTTTGCGTTGGAGACATCTGGTCCACTTCGAAAATTCACCTATCATGACTGCTGAGGAACAGTACATTTCCACTCAACCTTGCACGCGTACATCTCACGTGCAGGTCTCTTGAAAGAACCGCACTATACTACCACAACATGTTTTCGATGTTTTTTATGCTTAGTTCACGTACGCGTATGCAGATACATATATTTCTTACGTACTCGTGTGAAAACGCTGTTTCAAAAGTTTTTTCTGTTAAGACCCTCTCCTGCTATTTTTTTTAATTAATATTAAACAGGAAACGGTTTTCCATTTTTCTGCATTTTTCTTACACCAAAAGAATTCGATGTATTTGCTACACCCTTCTTTCAGTAGTTTTTTATTTTATTCGGATTTTTTGGATTGATGGCTGCATCGCATTTGTAGGACCACTCAAAACCCTGATCTTTCTTAACAACGCCGGGTATTCTGATCGAGTTGGAAGAAATTATGGAAGAGAGTTGAAAGAAAGAAAAGTAGATTCAGCTAAGAATTATTTTAAGAACAAACCTCATAAAAATTGCCGACCAATCTCTGAAAAGGCGGTTGGGTCGGGAAAGAGTTCGAATTTAGGAGAAAAAGCGGTTACGTAACTTGGTAGCCGTTCGTATACTAAGAAATTTGAAAACGTGTTTTGGTGAAGCGAAGATAACACAAAAACAAACAAAATGAGTAGACGAAGGAATTAACTTATTTTATAAAGGTG